TATGAATTATTTGTGTTGTTATTACAAGTGTTGCTGTGACCCCCTAGGAAAAGGTTATGCCCCGCCCTGTATTTTAGGGATGCTATTTTGAATCACTAAAGATAGGAAGCAAGGGCTCAAACTGAAGCAGTAGCTTCAGGGTAGAATTTCCATGAGAAGTTCGATTGGTGATATCCCCAAAAGGAAGTTTTTCCATTAATGATTCCTTCCTTTATTGGGTGATATATTATGATTGGAAGCAATGTCCAGCAGTAAAATGGCTCAAAAGTACAAATTAGCATAAGAGGGTGTGGCAGTACTGTTCCCATAGAAATGTAAGGATTATTCATTATCTGCTTCATTTTTTTAAGAAAGGGAAAGGGGGTGGTTATTTTTGTATGAAACAGAGGTTTGTAGTATGAGGCCCTTGTTCAGAAACTGAGCACTGATTAGCTAATTACTTGATATAATTAATTATTAGCCACAAAGAATAAGTGGTGATGGGCTGCTGATTCCCTGTGAATTCCATAGACTCACAAATATGAAAATCTACTTGTTCTGATAGTATTGTGATAACTAAATAAACATGGAAATAGGGAAAACAGCTCAGTCAATCTCAGCTTGTACTTTGATGTGAAAGCAGAAAGGCTGGCTGATGAATGGCAATTTGAGAGGAAGTCCTCACAGATTACACAATTTAGTTGAACATCAGGAAGAGTCTGGTAGGACCTCTTCTGACAAACACATTTTATTAAAAGGCGTAAGTGTTCATGAGTTGCAACATCACTTCTTTGAACTGGGATTTCAGTTGAGATGTGTGCGGGAGGAGACAGACGCAGGTTATATGTGAATACATTATCAATTAACAACAATACTGTGTTAAAATCTGTTGTGTTTGTGAGATAATCTGAAATCATTTGAAATATGGTTATTCATTTTACAGAGGGGGGGAGGGAAGGAGGGAGAGAGAGAGAGAGAGCATTAATTCATTAATTCTGGTCAGGAAATGATCAAAAAGTGGCTATTTTGAAAAATAAGACTTTAAGGATACTCCTTAAAGTCTTATTTTTCAAAATAACCACTTTTTGATCATTTCCTGACCAGACCTGCCATAGAGTGTTCTGGAAGTTGAAATGATTTGATAGTATTTTATCTTTCTTTTGAGTCGTTATGTCAAAATTGTATCCATCAATTCTTTTATGTATCCCCCCCCTTCCCGGGTCCTGTATAGAATCCATTTGGGGCATTGCTAGCAGATGATGGCATATATCACATTAGAAGGAGAGCATATAAATGTGCCTATAATCGTGTGTATGTGATGCCTGTGGTAGTGCTGTTAGCGTGGGCAAAGTAAACATCTGTGCAGCTGATGAACTGCATGGCAGCTCGTGAAAGATTATGCCTTTTAATAAAATTACTCACGCCTATGTTTTTGCTGCTACAAATTAATATGGCTCCTCCCACAATGCCTACAATTCAGGTGAGTAGACGTATGAAATGTCACCACTAGAGGGGATAGGTAAGCTGCAGAATTCTTTATCTATACAAATTCTTTTAAATAAAATAATAATAATAATTTAACAATAATTTATTAAACTTGCATGCCTCTTGGCTCTCAAANCCAAGAACAGCATCCACTTAGTGCCAAAAAATCTGGAAAGATAAAAGAGAGGGGCCTGGATTCTGCATATTGTGAATGTCTGGCTTTAGAGCTTTTAAAGTTCTAAAACCACAGTTCAAAGAATACATGGGGGGGGGGGGGAGAAAGAAAATTGATCCAGTGCAGAGCTTTACCTGATAAATATTGGAGTATAGAGAAATGCGGCAAGGGGTGTGACGCTGATGCCCAGCAGCATTTTGCTATCAATATTCTGTAGCCCAAGGTTGCTATATTTCACCTCCCGGTAGGTCTCATCATAATGTAAGATGAGCTGCATCTGAAGCAGGCCTGTGGAAGACAACATGGAAACTCAAGGATTAATCCTTTTTGACCTTGGTCTGTCATTCAGCTGCTGTCTTCAGACCTGTGTTCCTCCATTGCAGTAAACCACAAATTATGGTTTACAAATCACAAAGACTCAGTTTTCACAGCATACCAATCCCAAACCAAGCAAGCCAAGTTATGTTTCTGCATGATGTGGGAACTGAACTACACCGTGTGCACAATTATTAGGCAAGTGAGTATTCTGACCTTATCCTTTGTATGCATATTTTCCACCCTCAAGCTGTATAAACTTGAATGCTTAGTGGATATAAGCAGATTGGGTGATATGTATAGTACTCAGTGTATAGTGATGCTCAGAAAAAAAACAAAAAACAAACCTTGTTTCTTCAGAATCCTAATCTGCTTCATCCTGTTAACAAGAAGCTTATTGCATCTGAGACTTAGCTATCTTTCCAGAGTTAACTCAGAATCAATAGAATGAAAGCATAACACATCTGTCTGAATGTATTCCTGATAGTTCAAAACCCAGCTACAGATTCTTACAGATTCTGCACATCAGTGGTGGGTTCCTACCGGTTCAGCCTGGTTCAGTCGAACCGGTAGTGGCATGCTGGCCTGGGTCGGAGAACCGGCAGAGACACAGGCTGGCCACGCCTCCAAACCGGTTCCCAGTTGCTGCAGCCTCCACTGCCATCTTGTTTTTGAGTTCTGTGCATGTACAGAACTATTTTAATCGAACTGCGCATGCGTGCATAACATGCCCACGAAGCATGCCCATGAACGAACTGGCAGTAACGCCAATAGAACCCACCCCTGCTGCACATCATCTCCAAGTTCTAGGCAATAACACTTCCAAATCATTCTATTATTTCTGAAAAATAGAAAAGTAAATGTCTAAACTAACATCCCTGCAATTTATTTGGGCACAAGACTGATTCTCGGCAGATCTCCCCTGCTTAACTTAGAAGTATAGCAAAATCTGCAAATAGAATCTCATGCAGATCTAGCAAAATGGTCATGAGCTGGATTCCTTTGAAGTAGTAGGTAGGGCCCAGGAAGCAGAGTTAAAATGTAGCTTGTCTTCTCTGTCATAGTGCTATCTTACAGAATAGTCTCCCCCTCTCCCTGCAGTACAGAAGGCTGCGACCCTATTGGCCTTCCAGAAGGCAGTGAAGACCTGTTTGACTAGGGACAAAATAACAAATACTCTTACGAAAGATTGGATTATTTTTTTTTTGCTGAAAACAGACAAAATAAACCAGTGATTTCTGGTTGACTAATGACCCTGTTGACTAATGATTTAATCTGAATTTTTAAATAAATAAGGTTGACTGTGTAAACAAGGGAATTATATAATTCTACAGGGGTAGAAAGATAAAAATTTATATTTGTGAAAAGAAGTTCAGAAAATACATCTTTAACTTTTTCTCTTTTTCTTTATCTGTACTGTTTTAACGCGTCTCTTTTTCTAATTTATATATTGGGTTTTTTTGTTTAATTATTTGAAAACTCTCCCAAAAATAAAAAAGAGAAGGCAGTAAAGACTGGCTTTTCTCCATAGGGAGGCCAGGAACTTAATGGAGTTCTGGCATGCTTGCATTTGATCTGAGTGTATGACATTTTTATCGGGGCCTTGACTGTATGCTTTTTGTTTCTTTAAGCTGGTTGTGATATTTGCGTTGTGCTTTTTTTTTTTTTTTTTTTTTTTTGGCCGCTCATAATTTTTCTGGTAGATGGACAGCCTTGTAAATTTGTCTAACAATAAATTAACAAACAAATCATTCTATGGCAGAAGGAAAGAGTGGTAACTCCTGCAATACCTACCTAGAAAAACCCCATAGGTCAGCATTCCTGCTATGCTGGCTGCCAAAAGGTTCTTGACAACTCCAAGACGCTTACGGCGGAAATACTTTCGTTCTTCTTCTTCTTCATTGTATTCTGCATGAGCCCCCACAAAGTCCTCCAGCTGAAGACAGAAGCATCAGTAAGGAGTTAGGGAAAAATGCTCTGGGAAGTGGTTATGATACACGGAGACAGACATATTTCACAAAAGCGTGAAGGTGACCTGTAATCAAAGCTAGGATTACAGCCAAGATGGTCAGTAATGCTCTTAAGAATTCTATTCTCCGATGTAAGGCTGGGGAAGGCATGCAAGGAATGCAAGTAACGTATTTTTCAAAATATAAGATGCTCTGAAGTATAAGACGCACTTAGCTTTTGGTGAGGAAAACAGGGGGGGGGGAATCTGCCTGCCTCCCAGCAATTTTTCTCCAGCAAACAGTACAGAAGATATACACTATTTGTGGTGTTACATTTCAGACTATACTTGTACAGATGCTGTTAAACATCAAGTTCCACTTTCAATTTGGCCTCCCGATCACCAGCTGTTTCAGGCTGCAGGGATTGCNTGAATATCATCTAGAAATATTCAAATTCTCTCAACCAGACCCAAAGGTTTTGACCACCTTCCCCATTAATTTTGGTGTCAGAGTTCTTGGAGTTAATGGAAATACATTTCCGTCCTCTTCATTTAGCAAGTAGTCTCAGGACCAGGTTGGCCAAGGTTTCCTCCTACAAGCTGTTGCAAAACTCATTTGTGGAACACACACAAACCTCAGAAGCCAGTTTTGTTTAGAAATGCCTTCATTGCCTGTCTGAAGCAAAGATGATCCAACCCTTCCCATATTCTAGAAGTGCAAGCATCAAAGGGACTGATGATGTGGTGAGACAGTTTGTTGAGACAAGTCTTTGACAGTTCAGCAAAGGGGAACAAGGATGCAGCTACTGTTTCTTGTGATCCAGATGCAAACTTTTCTTCTGGCTAGTGAAAGTTGCTTCTTAGCAAGTGGGGGAAGAGAGAATGGGTGAATGGGAGAAATGGTTGGTGTTGGAAGGGGAAGCTTATACATCATTCTGGAGTCGTGTTCAATCTTACATCAGATGTCTCATTTGATACATAAAACACACAAGAGTAAAGTAAAATAATGTTGCTTTTTTATTGCAACATGCAGCTTTGGTGGGCCTTTGCTACTAAGCACAGCCTTTGCCTGTTGGATCATCATTTCAGAGATATTTCCTGATCAAATACCTCAATGCCTTGAACTAGGATAGAGCTTTTAATGTACTGCCTTCACTGGAAAAACTGGGATACAGTCATCTGCCTTGAAAGTAGCCCATGTTGAACTGTATAGCACAGTTAAATATCAGCACGGAATATTTATGACATTTTGTACAGGTAGTCCTTGTCCTATAACCATTTGAGCCTTGGTGGCACAGTGGTTAGACGGCAGTACTGTTGACCTACTTATTGTAGGTGCACAGAAAAATTCTCATTTTATTTTAACAGTCTTCAGAATTATCTTTGAAAGAACCTCTTTTCATTTATTTTAAAGAAGAAATACAGTACAGCATTATTAAATGATCACTGAGGAAGAGATGAAAAGTTGAAAGCATATTAATATTTTATGCTTGTTGTTGTGATGAAAGAAGTGTCCTTCTGGGTTCAGCCCCAAGTGGGGAAAAAGACACTGGAGACATGGAGGCTGCTTGGAAAGATGGTT